TTGGATGCCTTCGAGGGTATTGTGTGCACCCTAATTGACGTCACATTATTAACTTATTGTAACTTATTGTTTGCACTGCGCAGAAATAAAAGAAATTCTTGAGGAAATAAGACATTAATCAGCGGATATATATTGGTTTCTTTCAGAAATCATTGAAATTTAATAAGACATTTGCTTAGCCTTGCATGTAATATGAGCAAACATTCGGTTTGTTTTCAACAATTTTGCATATTTTCAAATATTTTATTGTAAATGGCTATTAAGGCAATTTTCTGGGAATTGAAATGATTTTTGTGGCAGTGTGGGTAGACATACTCGTACGAACTAATAGGTATGACTTAAGGGGTTACGTGGGTTTGACGGCTACAAAAAAAAATCTGATATCAAAAAAATAGTTTTTTGTCTTATTTAATTCTATAAGATCTTTGGAATATTGCTCTTAATTTGTAAGTTGATCCGAGTAATATTTTTAGAGATACAGCCTTGAAAATTGCGTGGTAGTGGTAAAACTTTAAACGCTTTTTTCTCGAAACTCTGTTTCCAAAGTCGATTGTCAAGATTTCTCACGAACTGCTCAACCGATCATAATGAAATTATACGTAGGGCTTCGAGATAAAATTCAAAAAACAACAACGTCGAGAAATTTTCACCCAAAATTTGGCTTTTTTTGTAAAAAGTCTGCCGAAAATACAATTTTCACTTGTATAGTTTTTCCTTCGTCCAGAAGGACTGTGACGTCGAATATTTTCACTTCAAAAGTTATATATAGAATAATAAAAAGTATGAATAAAATATTGAATTTTTTATATGAAAAAAAAATGTATGAAAATATGCCGTTTTTGCTCTAGGAAACCCAGTAACCCATTATTTTAATCGTTTTCCTAATACATGTACATAACCGTTATACTTGTATGCATTTGAAATGCCTTCATAAAATAGAGTTATTGAAAAATGAACATGGACCGATCCACTGGTACACTGTGTATACAGTCAGTTTATCTTATAAAAGAATGGAGCTATCTCGATCAAATTAATAAACAACAATGTAATAGGCAGAGAAGGTTATCCTCATCATGGTTCATATCATGGCCTCCTTCAATTAGTGATATTTTTCAAAAATACTACAACTATTACAAATTACGTCAAACATATGTTTAAATGACTCTTAGATAAATTGTAAATCTCTCAGACATTTGGAAATTTTAAGGAAGAATTTGATAGAAGCTCTTTTGAATCGGTGAAATTACGTTTTGTTACCTGTTACAATACCATAATTATTTTCCAAAATTTATGTGTACATTTTTATGCTCTCCACAGGGTATATTAAGTTTGCCACGAAACACCCAGACGCAAACATGGGAGACCCTATAAAAAATATATATAAATGATCTGTATAACAAACTGAGTCGATTTAACCATACTCATCTGTCTGTATATACTCGTACGAGAACTAGTCCCCCAGTTTTTGAGAATTTTGCACACATCTTTTTTCCCACAAGAAACGGCTAATTTGTCGGAACCGCTGATATCGGACTACTATAGCATATAGCTGCCATATGATTAAGAGTAATCTTTTGCATTTGTGAAAGGTATTATATGTTAACTTCGGTTAAACCAAAGGTAATTTTTTTTTCTAAATTTAAGTTTTTTCTAGACACCAATCCTCAAGCTTACGTTTCGGAGCTCTGAAAATTGGCAACTGTAAATTTTTTATTTTATTATCAAAATGCCATTTTTACTGCTGTTCGGTTTTTTTCGGTTATTGAGTCAACAGTTAAAGAACGATCTTTCTGGAGTTTAAAAATGAGACTAAGTGATCCTAACCTAAATTCTTGAATTCAATCATATTCAGTAGATTTTGACCGGTATTTCTTAGAAATATCCATTATTTCAGATGTCAAGTTTAGAAAAAGCCTAACAGTTTGAGTATAGACAGCGCATGTTAATTAAGCGCTTTATCCTCCTAATGCGTTTTTGTTTAGAGACAAGCGTTGTCGATATAACTATGTAGATTCGTAGGTAAAAAAATTAGCTCTTGATTCAGTCAGGGTGCCAGAAAAGCTTCGTTGAAAGTGGTGCTTAATTTTATTCAGAGATCTTTTTTTTTTTGTTTTTGGTATACTAATTATGGTTTCCTATGAATAATACTTAATGAGAGTTTTAAATATATTGAATGAAACATACAAGTATGTATGTATGGACAATTTAGGTAGAAGAATGAATTGTTAAAGTATTGAAGTTAGTGTGAAATAAATCCGATTGAAAAGTATAGATTTTTAGCTGTATACCGACTGTTTTGTTCTTACCTCGAAATTATGGCATTTGTGCTCACCCTTCATGTACGAGGTGTGTTCAAAAAGAACGAAAGTTTTCGTTTTTAAAAAAAGTTACTAGACCGGTTAGTCTCAATTTTGCAGTCATTGACTTTTATGTTTATTGCGATGTATGCTCCTTTGAAGAAATAGTGAATAGAGTTGCCATAAATTTAATAAATTAAAAAAATGGTATAAATGTGAAGAAAGTAACATGTATACAGTTATTTCAAGTTGAGGTATTTGTTATCGCAGGATTCCTAATACAGTAACATAATATGACTAAGTATATCTAACCAAGTACTTTAAAAAAAAATGTTTAGGAATTATGAGATACGTTTGAGACCAATGGATATTATTATATATTTCACTGAAAACACAAGCATTGTCTAAGCTTACGAGGAGTATATTTTCAATTATATAATTTAGAGAAAACGTTCCCAATGTGAGTAGCGCTTTTAAACCAAACATATCTTTAAATTTCATAATAATTTAGTGGAAGTTGGTAGGATATTGTGAGATGATAGTTAAACCTATCATCAACAATATTATAGCCGGATTTTAGATTCATTGATTGATATAAATACTTTAATTTCACAATACTTAAATACCTATGATTTTTGCAAGTTCACAAGCCAGCTAAAAAGAATCACTCCAACAAAGCCACAATAGATTATGTGCTTATAAATCATTTATTCATGTTCGTGAAACCTACTACTTACATATACATACATATGTTGCTCACAGGTATCCACGAAAGCCAAAACATATAGATAAATTGTACTTGTACCCATTTTATTAACATGACATGAAATTTCATTGAATTGCTTTGCTGTGAGCTTGAAGTTCTGCAACACCTGTTGCTCAGGTTCGTTATGAAAGTTCAAGGATTATATTCACTTTCGCCAAATACATGCATATGTATTTATGCACGTAAACATTAACTGTTACATATTTCTATTTGGCTCTTTCACACTTATATATAGAAATATGAATATGCGATTTTATATGCGCATGAGTCAAAAATGGATATTTGTATTGTATGTATGTTTGTATATAAATGCATAGTGCATATATACTCTTATACCCGGCATGTATTTGCAAATACCATCATGAATATATTAAGTCATAGAGCAAATAATAGAAAAATACAAAAACATTCGCTTTGGCTAAAGGTCCTTATAAACTACATAGTCAACTATTTTTAGAATATTGTGTGACTAAACACCGTTAGCGAGTATTTAATAATAGAAATTTACTTGTTGGCTTATTGATATTGGTTTTAAAAATAAACTAGGTGTAGTAATGGTCCTTTAGCAATGTCATAACAATGTCCACCAAAAATTCTTGTATTTTAATTGAGCGTTTTTATGTCTTTTGTATAGTAGTAAGTGAGGCGGTTTTCGTAAAGTACTCTGTTTTAGAATTCAATATATTTATTTCAATAATCACAAGTCATCTACGAGATAGTTTTATCTTTGGCATAAGGCAGTAAAGGTCATTTGGATATTCAATTTTGGCTATCCGCCCATATAAACTACGTACTGACTTCCTTCGTTTCAATTGAATTTAAGCTTAATACATATCTGAAGAAATTTAGTCGTATCGGTCAGAAAAATTTTGAGTTAAAAAAGTGCCCATTTTATTTGAAATCAAAGGTGGTAAGACTCTTTTAAATAATTTTAGCATATTCAAAAAATCTGTTTCCATTTTCAGTAACGATCTATTATTGGGCATGGTTTAATAACGCCCCAAATCTTTCAATATTGTATGTATTTAATTAATTCATCGGTAGCAAATTGCAATGATATTGACGCCGAGTAGTCTGCATACAATTCATTTTCGATTTTGCATTACACACATATATAATATATATATATAATACTAATTATAATATTTTTTTAAATTTGTATAAACGTAAATGACAAGAAGCTGAGGAGCTGAGTCGATTTAGCCATGTCCGTCTCTCTGTCTATCTGTATATACGCGAACTAATCCAGTTTCTGAGATATCGATCGGATATTTCGGAACCGCTGATATCGGACCACTTAAGGATATAGCTGCCATACAAAATGAACGTTTAAATTCATATATGTACTTGTAAGGAAAACAAGTTATCTTCACGAATTTCGAAACAAATTGTTCAGATCGGTCAACTACAGCATATAGCTGCTATTTGACCGATCGACATAATGCCAAGGATCTTCATAAAATATTTTTATTAAAAAACTGAATTCGACTTGAAGGTTGCTTATATTAAGCAACTTGACTAGAAAGAACTAGCAAAACTTGTTACGTTACTATAAGAAAGGCAACTGTGAAAAGTATTATACCTATTTATCTAGCGTCGACAGAATTGATCAAAATAAACCACTTTGCCCTTATAGAAAAATTAGTTCGTTTGCTAATTCGGTTAACAGTGGATATAATTCATAATCTTCAAGTTCGGTTCAAAACCAATTTAGGGCTTGAGAAAAAATTTATTTTTATTAATATTATATTATCCCAGCAGATTAATAATACCTTATTATTTTCGTTTTTAGCCATTTGTTGGTATTTATTCTCATTTTTGAGTTATCGTTTCCTGGTTTGGAGTTCATTATATATATAATATACATATTATACATATATATATATATATAAATTTATATATATGTAAAATATAAATCATTTCACAACTTAGCTCACCTCACTTTTACATTTATCGCGCTGCTCATGTAGTTTCTTATTCCATTTTCTGCACAAACCGTTCGTGAAGACATGCAAATGTGGTTGTTATGAATAAACTGCTCCTTTTTGCTGTTTTTCTTTTCACCTTTTAACTATATATATATAAATGAAATAGACTTAGTCTGTTCGTTCGCTTGAAATCACAATCTCTCTTATTTTCTTGCTTTCACTAACTTTTCTTCTCCTTATTATGAAATAAATATATATATTTGTTTGCTTTTGTTTTTGTGTTTTTAACGATTTAAAGATGATTTATATTAATATTTAAATGATATATGTTACATATATTTTTTATGTGTTAAACACTTTTAGGAGGTCACTTATGTTGTTTCTGTAATATTCGAACAATTAGTTTTTATAATAAAAAATCACTTAAAAACCACAAATTATTCACAAGTGGAAAAACGCACATATATTGTACAGTAATAAATATATTCTTTAGTATTAGTTATAGAGCACAATTTAAAATAATATAATCACTTCCGTTCCTCAGATCAACCATTTATCCTTTATGTACATCGATCAAGTTGTGAGTTGTGAGAGTGTTATTTATTTACCAGTAAAGGGTTATGGTATCTATACGTAGGTTGCCTTTTATATTTCGAAATCGGTATTTTTCAACCCTAGTGTTGCAATCTGGCAACTCAGAACTTTATCGTATGGTTTACATTTTTGATGTTATACATACTCAAAACGTTTTGACCTACGCGCGCTATTTGTGTTGTTTACAGTAATTTAAAATATTCATCTCAGACGAAAAATAGAATTAAATCACGAACATTTTCGCGCGATTATTTTTCACAACTTTCAACATGGATTAATTCAACAACAGTACATCGATGAACTTAATTCATTTGTTGGCAAAGAAGTTCCATCAAGGACTAGTGTTTATCGATGGTATGGTGAATTCAATCAAGGTCGTAGATCCCTTCAAGGTGAATTTCGTTAAAGTCGTCCAAAATCAGATGTTCCGGAAACTATTGATGCTGTACTGATATTGCAAAACCGTCATGTGACCTATTATGAGATTGAGACTACTACAGGCATTAGTGACTACAAAAAAAATGTGTTTACGTTGCATCCCACAGAATTTGTCATTCGCTCAAAAAAAGGCTCGTGTGAATTGGTCGAGAGAATTGTTAAAAATACGATAGCGGTGCTTCGAAACACGTCTATGACATTGATGAATATCAGCTGATGAATCGAGGATTTACGCGTATGAGTCCGAAAGTAAACAGCAGTCGACTGTATGGGTGTTTCAAGAAAAGTTGTTCGCTCACGAAGCAATTCCAAGCAAATGGTTACCTGGAACAACGCAGAACAGTAAATTCTGAGTGGTACACAATCATTTGTTTGTCAGCTGTCTTTGAAGAAATCAGAAAAACCAATCGCCGAAGACGGATCACTCTTCACTACGACAACTACTACTTTCCCACATCGACGGAAACAACTGCATTTTTGAGCACTCAAAACAACGATTTAAAGAGTCTACTACCATAAAGTTCTGACTTAGCACCGATGAATTTCCTTTTATTCCCGTACGTAAAAGATAAACTAAGAGGTCAACATTTTTCGGCACCTGAAGAGGCGGTTGATGCATACAGAACGCGTATTTAGGAAATCCTTCAATCTGCGTGACAAAAGTGCTTCGACAGTTAGTTCAAACGCATTTAAAAATATACAGATCTTAATGGAAAATATTTTTAAAAAAATTAAGCAATTTTCGATAATTAATATTTATTTTGTTTTCTAATCCCGAAATAGAAAAGGCAAGTCTCGCATATGTATATACTTCCCATACCTCCTACAACCAATTTTACGAGTTTTAAGCTTATTTTTATTAATTAGAAGAGTATGTAAGAATATTACATAGAATAGAACTGAATGAATCTTAAAATTTGTCCATCCTGCTCAACTGGGTGTTTCTATCAGTGAGGACACTTCACCATTATCACTTGGTATATAAATTTCAGCATAAATATTTTCTTACTCTGACGCCTCTGCTTGTTGCCACCGCAAATTTATTATTTTCTTTTTTTTCAACCATTTCTCTCTAAGTTATTCTCAATCAATTGTCTCCAAGCGCTTAATAATTTTTCCACTAGCTTGTTGACTCTAACCACAACTTTCACAAGTTTGATTTAAGTGGATCGCCATGCACACTCTCAGATATTTTATATATAATCTTCTAAAAACATTCAAACTAAATCTGATAAATTAAACATGAATGTTATTGACATAGGAGGCGTTAATTCCATACAAAAAAAGTTTTCACCTAATCGCCTGTTATGTTATAAAGTTTGAAAGCCTAAAAAGTTAAATAATAAAGTTCTGTGGGAATTAAAAATGCACATTTTTCACTAACAACAGTACACCTTATCTTATAAGCGACTCGTAGTCACGCAAATGGCTGACAAAAAAGTCTAAAGCATGCGAAATTCACCAACACTACTTCAAACAGTTTTTGGAACAATCAAATAAATTCAAGAAAAAAACACAACGCGATTCGAAGCCTTAACATTTAACTGAATTTATGTGCATGTATTGGTGAGAGAGCGCTGTGGCACACGCCGGCTGTGGGTGGCTGGCGTTTAAACGAGAAGTCGGCAAGCAGCTGTGAGCGCAAAATGGATTGACGTATAAGGAGAATGTTATATTTTACGCTGATTAGTATATACGACGCGCTGATGACGTTTGAGCCAAACTCTCTATGAGCAAAAACGAAAAGAAAACATATACCATATACCCACTCAAAAAAAATTGCTTTATTTATACGAGTATGTGTGTATGATAGCATTTATTCATTTTACACCATCTTCGGCTATACTGTAGCTGTCAGAGCACAATTTCACCACACTCACATGTAGATTCTCATAAACATATCATGATCGCTCTAGTGCGCAACTCTTTGTAGCCGACACTGTTTGGTCATTCTTGTGATGCTACATGGCGTATGAGTAACATTCGCTGCATAATTGAATTGAATGAATAAGTGAGTTGCTATTTCGAGTGGGTTGAAGAATGCTTGTGGGTGTTGAACAGTGTTGCTGTAGTAGTGATTAATAAATAGAGTGTGTTTTATAATGGAAAATGTACGGTGTAGTATTCCAAAGCGTGCTATAACTGGCTGTTCGAGGCTTTATTGGTTTTAAAATATACACAATTACTAGACTCATTTTAAATGGCAGGAAAGAAAATGGGTTTCACATAGTATTTTCCCAAATATTTACTCATCATTATAATATTTTATATGTTTATCTTATTTATTAAACAGTTCTTAGTTTTTTTTAATAATATTTATTATTGTGAATTCGCCAAGACTGATCTTAGGTCGAAAATATTGCCGTGGACACTCCTCGGCTTGCTCTAATGAGTCCATTGAGCACAAATTAAAATAAATTTACTCAGAGACTAGTTGAATTTATGCACAAACGGGTAATGTACTAATTTGGGGAAAATATCAGACGATTTCTTACACAATCATCGTTTTAATTGCATTACGATATTATGCATTGTACTTGATTTAACTTTTGCTAAGACGAATCTAAAATGTCAATATAAGAGATGTAAGAGTAGTTGAGGTTCGATTTTGCCATATTTCTAAATATATCTACATGTTAAGAAAAATAAAGAATCCAAATAAATATAATGAGAAAAGTATTATATAGCCAAATTTAGTAGCATAACTTAGGTGCCTTATGAAATATTATATTAAAATTCACAATTCTATGCTCATTGCTCAATAGTTTTATTAATATAATATATTATTATTTTCAATAGGTAGCTTTATGCTCTGATTTAAATCCACAATTTATCAACATTAACTAACCAAAAAAAATTATGGTTGCTTACTAACAATTTTTCTGGAAAATAAGAGAGTTGTTCTTGTCAAATCGGTGAAGAATATTGTAAGAAAAAAACAAATGTTTCGTTCTAGGCTAGTTTCGAGTCATTAGTTGCCATTAAAAAATTTAAACCTCTTTGTATTTCATTTCGCTTATTTTGAGGTGAGGTCCAGAGCTACGTTTAGATCCTAAGTTATGTTGAGGCATATGAGTTAAAATATAATTCGATATTTATTAAGGAAGGAAGCAATTCTTTTTAGAATTAAGGACGAGATCTAAAATTTTAAACAGTTCTGAAGCCAAGCAATCACTGTTTATATCCAGAACAGCGTATATTAAGTTTGGCACGAAATTTTTAACAGCTAGAAAGAAATGACGCTCATTTATTTAAACCACCGATATCGGACCACTATAGTATATAGCTGGCATACAAACTGAACAATTGGAATGAAGTGTTTGTATGAAAAGCCTTTTTTTGGAAGAGATATCCCAAGCAAATTTAGCATAGCATAGGTTATTGCCCAAAGCAATGGTGCAATCTTCGAAAAAATTGTGCAGATCGAGTTACTATAGCATACAGCTGCCATACAAACCGTAAGATCAAAATCAAGTTTTTGTATGGAAACTTTGTGGGAGGTATTTTAGCTTCGTTGCAGCCGAAGTTAACGTTTTCTCTTGTTTTATTATAAAATAACGAATGCGTCTTCTCAAAAGCACCAATTCATTAGCATTTATTCGTTTTCTTTAAAAAATTTATCTACATAAATATATTTATTTTCCTAAGGAGTTTAGCAGCTGATGAATTCATAATTTTCACCTAGACATTGAGAAGCACAATAGAATCGCTATCGATTCAAAGTGCAACTCGCCATTTCATTAAAAGCTTCAGCTGTGCAAACCACACATTTCTAGCCATGGCGAAAGCGGTCATAGAAAAATAAAGAAAATAAATAACAAAACAGAAGGCCCACACAAATTGACCATACAAGTTATGGCTACGGCAATAACAACCTCAACGTGGTAGGTGGCAACACAATGAGTGAACTGCCACACACACACATGCATGGTGCTGGCAAAGACTTGAGGGCGTGGGAGCGACCGCACAGTTAATTAGCAGCAACGGTGTTACCACAAAAGGATAGCGGAGGTGAAAAATTACTGCATTCGTGGCATGGAAATGATAAGTTAAAAATAGTAAAACGGGAAGTATGTAAATAGCTAGGTAACGCTGCTTTCACGACCTGCCGGGGTCTGAAAGGTTACCTGTGCCTACTCGCGTTTCAGTTGAGTATATTTCTATGTGTGTGTATTTGTGAATGTAAGGACTGGTAGGCGTTAGCATTGACGATGATTGTGGTGATTTGCAGATATTTTAGGAGCATAAAGAATAGCAAATCAGAGCAACCCTTCGCTGTGCAGACTTCTCTAAGATAAAATAACACTGTTTATACACATGTGTGTGCATTTCTGTATATGAAGCACAGCTGGCATGGCAAAATTAGCCTACAAAGTCGCTTTTAGTTTCGCTGTGTGTGTTTTAGGTGTGTAAACGCATTTTATTTCACAGCTGCTACTGAAATGTTGTTGAATTGCAACGCTGTTGTTGATTTAATACTGAGTTTCATGCTTAAACTTTGCATAAATTCAACGAAAATATTAACACTTACAAAAAATACACTTTTTTCGTAAAAGTAATGCTTCGGTTAAAAAAAATGTTTACACTGCGAACTGTTGACGTTAAAATTCTAACGCGATTAGCTGCGTCGGCTACTTGACTTCAGCTGCTTTTTCCACTACTCCAGCTGCTGGTTTATCACACCAAGCATGAGCAAGCAGCATGTACACCAACAAAATTTAATACGTCATCAGCTCACATACACATGCTCAGTGTTGCACGAACACTATAAAAAGCTTAACACGGACAGCAACTTTGTGAGCTTGAAATTTTGTAGGCACACACAAAAATTACAGCGAAAAAAAAACCAAAACACACAACACCAAAAATATTTCAAAATTGTTTGCCAAATAGCACAATTTGTATAAAAAATATTTTTTCGAAATTGAGCACAAAACTATGCAACGTTTTTGCACACAATTTCTTTAAACACGCAGTTATTTCTTTGTATATGTGCGCTTTTCCACTTTTTCCTCAAAACATTGCTGATTTTTTTTCCACTACATATAATTTATATGCCGACCTTTGTGGTACGTACACTTTCGTTCAAAATTTGGCATCAACCGAAGGACTGCTCATGTCCTACTGAAACGTTAACGAATGATTTTATTTGGTGAGCTATAAGCTGTGAGCAGCGACCACTGGAGCAAACGACCATAGTCGCGTACAGCAACCGTGACGACTCTCTACTTCGTGCGCCGCAACAACATTCACATTAGCCATGTATGTGTTGGCTATTATGCTGTTCGGTATCTTGTAGCGATAACAGCACACTCACGCACTGCAAATTCCAACAACAAATCTACTTTGTATACAATATAAAGTTTGTCGGTTTGTAGTTGTATTTATCATAGTAGTTGACCTGTAGGAAAAAAAATCGGTTAGCGAAAATCAACTGCTGGTATTTTCTAACTGTAATTACTAGAAAAATTTCTGTAGAGGCTTTAATAGAGTTAAAATATATATTTTTAACTTCCCGCTAAGAAAATTGAAAATTTTCCAAAAATCGGGAAGATATTGGTTTCACCCCATTTTGCAAAAATCAAGTTCTCAACAGATCTCGACGTTTTGAGGGTCGAGGAAGCTTCCCCGAACATTTCTACGATGATGTCCGTATGTCTGTATGTATGTGTGGATGTATGTGTGTGTGTGTGGATGTATGTGACCCTCTTATAACTTTTAAACGGCTCAACCGATTTGAATAAACTAAACGGCATTCCAAAGGGTTTCATTGCACTTGAATTTGGTGAGTTTGGACCCAATCGGGCCAGTAGATTTTGAGAAATCTCAAAAATAATTTCGAATTTCTTCCAAACGACTTGACCGATCGACACTAAAAACTAATTAGTTCTAAACCTTGAAAAAACACATCGTTTGCCGCAAACCGGGTCGAAATCGGTTGATTTATTTGCTAGATATCGAAAACGAAAAATTTCGAAGAGCTCAAAAGCAGTAAAAAAAGCGAAATTTGAACGTTAGCGTATGAAATTAGAGGGAAGTTGCAGGGATGGCCCTTGAGGCCAACCGTTTTCCACATTTTTTTTCATGCAACTTCGTGGTATTATTGAATAGTTCCTCTTTTTAATGACTAAGCTTCACAGGGTTGCATGAAAACAAGAAAAAAATTTATTTTGAATATTATTTTGAAAAGTCAATTAATTTAAAAATAGGTGAATATAAACATATATACATTTATATATTTTGTTTTGATACAAACCAGTGAAGCTTAGTCATTGAAACGAGGACTATTCAATAATACCGCGAAGATGCATGAAAATAATCGTGGCTAAATTTATATTGAACCAAATTTTTTTTTATAAAAAAAAGAAAATATGTTAATTAATAGGCAGCACTGAAGCTATAATATCCTTCAAGGGTACATTTCTTTAAGCATAGAAGGGTATAAAAACATATTTTTTCTTGATTTTTATTGGTCATTTTGTATGGCAGCTATATGCTATACTAGCCCGATCTAAACAATCTCTTTGAATATTGTACCGATGCCTGAAATAATAATAAACGCCAAATTTCGTGAAGATATCTTGTCTAATAAAAAAGTTTTCCATAAAATGACATGTATTTGATCGTTCAAATGAGCAGCTTCTTTGATAGAAAAGGACGTTTGCAAAATTTCACAATAATAAAGCAATATCTACATTTTGTAAAATAAAACTTGGTGCGTTGTTGCTGCCTCTACCATACGTGTTAATTTTTTGTCAAATAAACAGCGCTGAAAGATAGTGAGCAGAGAAATACCAAACCGATGAGGACTAATATTTAGAATGATTTCACCTCGCCCTCCGCTGTAATAAATTTTTTTTATCTAAATTTTCCTACTGGGTACTGACTAATACTTATATGAAAGTATTTATCAAAAGTTGTTGGTATATATGTGTGTGCGTATTTGTCTGCGTAAATTTTTCGACTACCGCAGGCATGCGATGAAAGCTCGCGCTTACCCATACGAGTATTTCTATACAAGGGACTACATACCTATATACACACATGTATACGTTTGCTTTTCGAGTAATTCGCTTTTAGAGCTTTTCATACGTAGCTTATTGAATTTTCACTTTTGCGTTATGAATGGAAGCATACATTTAGGTATTACTGATCAGTGTTACTATATATTATAGATTAAGTTACTCATGTTGTTGCTATTTCGAAATTTGTTCGCATATGAGACATTTGTGTTTCTACAGCGTCTACCTATTGGGATGACGTGATTTTGAAAGCTAGTGGCGGCCATGTTTGCTTACGGATTTGTGTAAAATTTTGTCAGAGTGTTTAGTGAAGTGATGAATTAATAAACATCATGTCACGTTTCACTTTGGTACAACGCTTGGAAATTGTCAAAGATTAATTCCCGTTCTCCGGAAAATCCGGAAATCCGAAAAATCATCTCAGATGAGACTCATTTCTGGCTTAATGGCTTCGTTAACAAACAAAGTTGTCGCTATTGGGGTGAGTGACATCATTGTGTGGTTTAGGAAACGCAATTTCATCCACAAAAATATACCGTTTGGTGCGGATTGTGGTATAGCGGCATCATCGGGCCTTATTTCTTTTTAAATGAGGCAGAAAATGCTGTTAACATCAGTAGCGATATTATAACATGATGCTGACCGACTTTTTTTTCACCGAATTCAATGAAACGGACGCAGACGATCTCTATTTCTAACAAGACTATGCGTCGCTTCATGTTTCACGTCTAAACGTGGACACATTGCTTGCAAAGTTTGGCGACTCGTTAATTGCAAAAAAGGCTCTGTCAAATGGCCGCCAATATAATGCAATTTATCGCCTTTAGATTATTTTCTCTGGGGGTATGTAAATCCAAAGGTTTACGCCAATCAGCCAGCAATGCTCAAAGAGCTCGAAGGCAATATTCAGCGCACTATAGCAAAAATGCTCCACCGTGTCATTGAAAATTGGCGTAAACAGGTGGAGATATGCAATTAGAGCTGTGGTAGACATTTGGCTGACATTTTGTTCAAATCATGAATGTCATAAAATTATCTGCGTAACAAAAAAAAAAACAGAAATAATTTTGACCAAATTTTAGTGTTTTATTTCATTTTAATATCACGCCGTTCTTGTTGGTAGACCCTGTAGTTATTAGCACTATAGATATTATTAGTCATTTTATGACCTAAAAAAGCGAAAATTATAAAAAATACCAATTTATTTCTAACTCGATCAGCGATAATCCAACTGCTTTAACCCGTCTTAAGAATACGTTTTCTGGAGGTCTGCAAAGTACATATGTATTCATGGCGGCGATAAACGACTCAAAATTGTGACTTTTCCAAGTTCTTAAGCAATAAGAAGTCGCACGGGACAAATAGTGAAAATACGCTGAATGGAGTACCAGTTCGTAGTCTAAATCGATCAAATGTTGTATTTTTTTTCACTAACAATTTAAGTAAATTTGAGCGCTTTATCCTTATTTATATAGTCGATAACAATTAATTAAAAACCAATTATTGCCATCATCTCTATGGTGGATAGGACAGTCTACGCCTTTTTCGGCGCGAATTCGCCGGGTGTAGTCCACAACTTCGACTCTTCCTTGATCTCTGGATCCATGTTTCGTTTATGGACTCAAAGCAACGCAAAATATTCTTCGTGTTACGCTCTACTGTCTCAGCTACATACATACAAGGTGCGTTCCAAAGTAAATAGGACTTAAAAAAAAAAGACAAAACAAATTTATCGGCAAAATCAATTAATTTTATTCAAAATAGTCGCCTTGCACGGTCCAAAAGCATGTCGAACGAGTGTTTTAGCTCGTTGCCCGGTATGGCCGCCAGTATGCCGGTGCAAGCCTTTTGAATGGCCTCCACGTCTGCATAACGCTTTCCTTACATCGGCAAATGCATTTTTCCGAAAAGGTAGTAGAAGTCCACGGTGCCATATCAGGTGAATACGGGGAGTGGTTGATAATTAAAATGTGATTTTTGGTCAAGTAATCAGCCACAAGCGTCGATCGATGAGACGGCGCATTATCGTGCAACAAACGCCAACTTCCATCTTTGCGAAATTCGGGCCGAACATGTCGAATACGGCGCACCAAACGCTTCAAAACTCCAAGGTAGAATACCGCATTAACGATTTGGCCGGATGGAACAAATTCTTTGTGGACAAATCAGCATTGTCTTCTAATTTGACTTCTCCAGGCGCGATTTTTTTGGTTTCGGCTCATTTATGTCCTCACGACCACTTTGAAAACGTTGAAACCACTCGTGCACTCTGCTATGGGATAGGCAATCATCGCCATAAACTTGTTTCATCAATTGAAACGTTTCGGTAAAAGTTTTACCAATTTTAAAACAAATTTTAATGTTGGCTCTTTGTTCGAAGCTCATTTTCGCACCGATGACAAAAACATACTGAGACTTAAAACACAATAACTTCACTTCCAATACATGAAATGTCATGAAATTTTTATTGGATATCGATAAAAGATAGCAGATTCTAAAGCACTAGTCGACATATAGATGGCGCCACTAGATTTTACTTTGTTACTTTTTACTGTTTACTTTGGAACGCACCTTGTATATCGAGTACCTTCAATAGGCGAACTGTCATTATGTGATCATGAACTTTTATACTGTTTTACAGAATACAGCAGATATCCGATCACCATAGTCTATAGCTGCCATACATATACGATAGTAAGTTTCTCTTGTATTAGTGACGCCATCGGGCCATCACGCTGAGTACTTTTAGGGTCGCTTCGTATATCTATCTGCGGTTGAAAACGTGAATGCATTCTAATGATTTGTTTTTAACGATACAGATAAGAGTAAATGAAATAAGGAATTCTCTTTATGAATATATGTAAGTGTTCTTAAAATTTTTGTTAGATAAACAAAAACTTCAAGGTCAATTCTAGAGTTCAAAATTTCTGTTTTCTTTATCACGTGGTAATGAATTCCAAAGCATACTGACACAAATCCCCGGCATTCTTAATTTATATTAAGTTAAAGCTGTAACTCCTCTAAAGCTCTTTTGCTAATATATTTCCACACATTTTTTTGCTAATTTTCATTAAAGTTCATTTTCACTAATATTTTAAGTCCATTAATCTGCAATAACAGTTTATTTACCAAGCACGTGATCACTTAATTTCCGCTACTTTCTTGCCGCATCGACTTCATCAATTTCGTAGTTGTTGTTGTTGTTGAACTTTAGCTACACTACCTATACATTGTATAGAAGAATAT